CACACTTTCATACACAGAAACACACACAAACTCTCACACTCACACACTCTCTCACACATATATTCACATTCTGTGACACACTCTCTCTCTTACACACACACAGAATCACACAGTCTCACACATTCACCAGACACACACAACTCTCTCACACATACTCTAACATGTTATTGTTGTTGTTATGTGCTGTCGAGTCGGCCCGACTCATAGCTATCCCTCCTTGGGTTTCCAGGCAGTATCACCACGGAAGTAGATTGCCCCATCTTCCTTCCGAGGAGTGGCTGGTGGGTTTGAACCGCCAGCCTTCTGGTTAGCAGTCAAGTGCCTTAGCCACTATGGCACCAGAGCTCCCCTTTCTAACATACACACTCTGATACACACATACTCTCTCTCACACAGTGACACACTGACACACTCTCTCACACACCCTCTCTCATGCACACACTTTTCCCTCTCACACACACTCTCTCACACTCTCACACAGACACACTCCACATTCACACTTGCACACAGTCCCACAACTCTCACACACTCTCTCTCACACACACACACTTATACACACTTTCTCTCAGTCTCACACACCCTATTACACACTTTCACACACAATCTTACACACTCTGTCACACAGACACACACACTCTCACACACAGACACATACACTCTCACACACACAGGCGTGTGCCCACACACATGCCACTTTTTGATAAGGTTCACCCCAGTACCGGGAACCCACAAAACAACAGAGACCTCCCTTCTGAGCACGGCCCCATTATTTTTTCCTGCACTTCACCATCCCTGAGTCCTCCAGGCCAAAAGTTACTTGAGGTCTTTGAATATCAGGGGGTTCACAAGACTGGTTTCCCCAGGGGGCCTCCTTAGCCCATTTGTACTCTAATAGAAGCACAAAAGCAGTAGGAGAGAGCTGTTGGTACCGCCTTCATCAGCCTGGGACCGAAAGCACCCAGCTGCAAACCACGAAAACCAGAATTCTCACCAAAGTTTGCAGAATATGTTTTGTCTTTACAAATAAACTCAAAGCAGCCCTATTCTCTCTCTCTCTCTCTCTCTCTCTCTCTCTCTCTCTCTCTCTCTCACACACACACATACACCAGGAAAGAACCCTGAAGACAGAATGAATGTATCTCACACAACAAAATTCAGTCAAGAGACTTGCTTTGGGAATGGCAATCCACTTCTTTTTAAGCTGCAGGAATAACTAAAGTTCAAACCCAAAGACATTTGAAAGCAAAATTAATATTTTACAGCAACTGACATTTTGTCTGCAGCATCAGCAAAAACCAAGGGTCCACCTGTTACTAGTTTCTTAGAAATACAACGTCCACTGCCTTTCTGGGAAGTATAGTTAGTGTTTGGCAAATTTTTGTAGGTAAGGATTCAAAAATATAACTGAAAAGTTAATCAAAGGGCTGACAGTGGGCCTAGACTCCCAAGCTTGTTGATTATTGAAAACGTTGTTGTCGTTGTTGTTTTGTGCTATTGGAAACGTGAGCATGCCAGATAGCCCCTGCTGTCCAAATTCCTTTGCTGGGCATGGAGTGATCCTAGAGGCTATAGGGAAAACAGTTGACTCCTTTTGTGTACATACAGGTTTTGTTATGTGCACTCTGAAAATAAAAACCAAAAAACCTACTGCCGTGGAGTCGATTCTGACCCACAGCGCCCCTAGAGGACAGAGTGGAACTGCCCCACAGGGTCTCCAAGGCTGTCAATCTTCACAGAAGCAAAGCCCAAACCACACCCACTGCCGTGGAGTCCATTCTGACCCACAGCGCCCCTAGAGGACAGAGTGGAACTGCCCACAGGGTCTCCAAGGCTGTCAATCTTCACAGAAGCAAAGCCCAAACCACACCCACTGCCGTGGAGTCCATTCTGAGCCACAGCGCCCCTAGAGGACAGAGTGGAACTGACGCATAGGGTTTCCAAGGCTGTAATCTTTATGGAAGCTGACTGCCACATATTTCTCCAGCAGAGAGTCTGGTGGTTTCGAACTGCCTGGAGCTCTGGTAGCATAGTGGCTAAGACGCTTGCCGGCTAACCAGACGGCTGGCGGTTCAAACCCACCAGCCACTCCTCAGAAGGAAGGTTGGGCAATCCTGCTTCCGTAGTGATACTGCCTCGGAAACCCAAGGAGGGGTCACTATGAGTCGGGTTTGACTCAACGGCACATAACAACAACAACAATGTTTTGGTTAGGAGCTCTAGTAGCACAGTGCCTAAGGCACCTGACTGCTAACCAGAAGGCTGGCGGTTCAAACCCACCAGCCACTCCTCGGAAGGAAGGTTGGGCAATCTACTTCCGTAGTGATACCACCTCGGAAACCCAAGGAGGGCTCGCTATGAGTCGGTGCCTACTGGACAGCATGTAACAGCAATAACGTGTTTTGGTTAGCAGCTGAAAGTGTTAACCACCACGCCACCAGAGAGCCTTACTCTAAACATAGAGAGTGCATTATTTCAACTTAAAAAGGGGCTGGCTCTCAGCCCAATAGTTAACAAGATATATATGCAGACCACTCAACGCAGGATGATGCGCCCACATACTGTATGGTAATACATCCCTTAGAGCAATAGACCACGGGGCACCAGAGGACAGACATTCAAAGTAAGGAAATGCAGGACAAACAGGAGTGTATAAATATGAGGGGCCCAGGGGGAGGGTTGCAGGGTAGGGAGGGGAGGAGACTGGGTTAGGTGAATGGGGAGTGAAACTAAAGGTACACATAATGGTGAATGTAAGGCAAACTCTTAAAATAGAATAATAAATAAACAAAGTTGGGGTTTTGCAGGAATGGTCTGTTAGGTCCTCCAGCTGGTCCACAAATCCCTTATTTGTGCCTGGTTTGAATTTATAAAAGGAGCCCTAGTAGCTGCTAACTGAAAGTTTAGAGGTTTGAACCCACTAGCCACTCAGGAGAAAAGACCTGGCAATTTGTTCCCGTGAAGATGATAGACTTGGAAACCCTGTGGGGCAGTTCCACTCTGTCCTCTAGGGGTGCTGTGGGTCAGAATGGACTCCACGGCAGTGGGTTTATGAATTGATAATTTGATTATTTTTGTTCAAAAGCTAGATCAGTTCTTTCCATAGTTTTTCTATCACCAACCAGAAACAGACTAAGTTTATGAACCACTGAGTGAAAGGACCATTATAAAAAGGTATTTATCAGAGTAAAATCACAATTTGTCAAACAAACCCATAGGGTGGTGGCAATAAGCTTTGTGGAGCTGGCATGCAATTGAATTTAGCCATTGTAACCACATTACCGGCTCTCCACGTTCACCAAACAGCTCTGAGCAGTGAACCAACTCAATAACCCAGGGCTGGCCAGTCTCAATTTTCTCCCTAATCACTGAGAAGTGTTTAGTCATGGTCATTGCCTTTAATTTGTTCCAAAAATGTGGTTTAATTCTAAATTTAAAAATGCATCTTTGAATAGACCTACAATGCACCAAAAGACAGTAATGGAGTTGAACATTTAAATACTTTTATTACAGTCTTTTCACATGGACATGGAATATTCTATCATGACACAAAAATCTATAGAAATTGTACTAACTACTACAAATGAGTCTCCTCAAGTGGTGTAGTGCCTAAGGCATTTGACTGTTAACCAGAAGACTGGAGGTTCAAACCAACCAGCCACTCCTCGGAAGGAAGGTTGGGCAATCTACTTCCGTAGTAATACTGCTTTGGAAACCCAAGGAGGGGTCACTATGAGTCGGATCCGACTCCACGGCAGTGGGTTTGGTTTGATTTTTGCAGCTCAGTGCCTAAAGCATTCTGACTGCTAATCAGAAGACTGGCAGTTCAAATCCACTAGCTGCTCTGCAGAAGGAAGATGGGGCAATCTACTTCAGTAAAGATTTACCACCTTAAAAACCCAATGGGCGTCGCTATGAGTCAAAATTGACTCAATGGAAGTGGGTTCGGTTGTTATTGTTAAAATAGGTTAAAGCATTCAGCTGCTAACCAAATGTCAGTGATTTGAACCAACCAGCTGCTCTGTGGGAGAAAGATGAGGCAGTCGCCTTTCCTAAAATTTTCATTGGAGACCCTGTGGGCAGTTCCACCCTGTTCTCTAGGGGCGCTGTGGGTCAGAATGGACTCCACGGCAGTGGGTGTGGTTTGGGCTTTGCTCCCATAAAGACTGACAGCCTTGGAGACCCTGTGGTGCAGTTGCACTCTGTCCTCTAGGGGCGCTGTGGGCCAGAATGGACTCCACGGTAGTGGGCGTGGTTTGAGCTTTGCTTCTGTGAAGACTGACAGCCTAGGAAACCCTGTGGGGTAGTTCCACTCTGTCCTCTAGGGGCGCTGTGGGTCAGAATTGTTCGGAAGGCAGTGTTTTTTTGTTTGTTTTGTTAACTTTTTGCTATGGAACTTTTGGGAGATTCTTAAATAGAGAACAGCATAAAGCACTCAAGATACTGCTCACCCCTCTTGGGCAGTGGGGTCGCACACCTGGCCAGTCTTGTTCTGGAGATGCGGTTTTGACACCCTCACATTTGATGGAGCTTTGGACAGGTCTTCTGGGCGCCACACTGAACTCCTGGCGCGCACAACCTCCGGCCCTCAGCAGAGTTGCCTGCACACGCGGCTTCCAGCCAGACGCGTTTTCCTTCCTTCCCGCCTCCTCACTTGGCCTTCATTGCCTGCTATAGGTTCTTCTGCCCTTAACCAGGAATTCCTCCACGCCCCTGGGTAAAGAGCTCCCCTCTCTCCCCAGAGATGCGGGTTCCTATTTCTTATGGGTACCTGGGCTCCACGGGGCTTCCCCTGGGGCGCCCACTGCATGCTTTTTCCTCCTATTCCCAGTTCCACTCCTTCCAAGGGAAGCGCAACTTGCTTAAGTCTCTCGGAGGCAGGAATCAGGGGACCTCCCAGACTTGAGCTAGGGCGGCCCCATCCGGGCTGGAGGGAGACTCGGGCGCCCTGTTGGCCTGTGCGCTGCGCTCTACACACTCCGGCGCGCCCTCCTTGCACTCACCAGGAGAAGATTGTGCGCCGCCAGGTACCCAAGCCGCGCGCTGCCCCGGACGCCGGGTGCCAGGCGCCCGGTGGCATAGCCGTGCCACGCCACCACGTAGGGGTTGTCGATGGTGATCCAGTGCTTGACCTGGCCGCCGAAGTGGCGGAAACAGAGCTCGGCGTAGTCCCTGAAGAGGCCGGCCACGACGCGGTTGGCCCAGCCGCCGTAGGCGTCCTGCAGGCGCTGGGGCAAGTCCCAGTGGTACAGGGTGACCACGGGCTCAACGCCCAGCTCCCGCAGCCGCTCCAGCAGGCGCCGGTAGTAACGCAGCCCCTCCCGGTTGGGGGCGCCCGCGCTGCCGTTGGGGAGCACGCGCGCCCAGGAGATGGAGAAGCGGTAGTGGGTGACCCCGAGTTCGCGCAGCCCCTCCGTGTCGCGGAATACGTTGTTGTAGCTGTCACTGGCCACGTCCCCCGTGGCGGGTGGGGACGGCGACGGGGCGCCCGACGGCGGGCCCGCGAGCGGGGAGCCGCCCGGGGGGTGGTGCGTGAAGGTGTCCCAGATGGACGCACCCTTGCGGTGCTGCTGCCAGCCGCCCTCCGTCTGGTAGGCGGCGCTGCCCACGGCCCAGAAGAAGCCGTCGGGGAAGGAGGCGTGCAGCAGGCCCGCCGCCTCCGGGGCCGGGGGGCGCGAGAAGCGGGCCCAGGTCTGCGCGCCGTCGCCTGGCTCGGCGCGCAGGCGGCGGCCCAGGGCCAGCAGAAGAA